ACTTATTATCAAAGTTTGTGTGAAAGGACTAATTTCACAATCAAAATACTAGTAGCATAGTCTAATGTTGCTATTTTTATTATATATTCTTTACTTAATACATTACTATATTTTCTACATTTCAATTTTTACATTACAATTTTTCATTTCAATTTTTCAACTTCATTGATGTACATAACCAAAAAAGAAATGTAATATTTTCTTTAAAGCACTATTTTATTCTATTCTATTCTATTCTATTCTATTCTATTCTATTCTATTCTATTCTATTCTATTCTATTCTATTCTAATATAGCAGGGCTGCAAGGATTGGTAATTAAGGCAGACACCACTGATTATAACACATTGAATAATTCAGCTGATTCCTATCTGTTCTTTTACTGGTCTGAGACTGAATCTGAAAAAGTGGCTTACCATTCATTGGTGTGTAATCTATAGCAAAGACTCTTCCATCAAACTCTGCTGGATGGTATTCAATTACAAAGTCACCATTTGAACTTTTGAAACACTGTATACGTCCATTTTTTCTATCAGCAACACAGACTTGATTTGTATCATCAATGTACACCAATGAATGAGGGAGATTAAAAGTACCAGGTGGAGGAAAACCTAATCCGGAAATATAAACATTACATAGTTTTAACTATTTTTCTATAGCTACAGTGTTATACTTACCAGGATAAGGTGTATCAGGGAAAAATAAACTACAAGTACCATATTTGTTCTATTGCTAGCACATGTGCTCATGTAAATTACAGAAGCAAGTTTATTGTCAAAATATGTGATATTTTGATGAATCAGTGAAATTTTACATTGTCAAATAAGGGTTATACAGCAAATGCATTTCTATTTGAACAAATATGGTACATGAAATGTCACAAATCATAATATACTAAAGATATTGGCAAAACCATAGACCAAATTAAATATGCAAATGAGTTCCTGGGTTAAGTGAACTGAAAATTCCTCTTGTATGTACACATTATATAATTCCATTGCATAAAAAAATAACCCACCATAAGTAAAGACAACACCAAGTTTTAATTGAACCGAGAAAAGGTTGATGATATGAAGGTTTGTCAGTCAACGATCATAATGAAATGAAAAACAAATCAACATGCATGTGACTAATAAAGGCACAATTTTGATGGCAATTTAAAAAAAAATGAAATTGACTAAAAGGTCATTGCTAGGGCTGAGTAGTGCTTGAAAATATTTTTAACAGACACACAAATACACATGCATATTCAAAAGGGTAAACTTGCACACAAAAATTAAAAACTTACTTTTAATAGAATGTGTTGAAGGCTCTCCCCACTGTAATATTTTCTCACCCTGTGGAGAATACTTAATAATGCGTGTATTGCAGTATCCATCGGCAACAAAGAAATATCCAGTGTACGGATCAATCGCTACATCAGCCGGCTTACAAAAATGATGATCATCATTTCCTGGTTCTAGTTTAGTTCCAAGCTCAATCAGTGGTGAATTGTTACCCCCTGGTGGGAATTTGAAAACTTGATGGAGAGCGACATCAGTGATCCAGATATTGTCATCATTATCAAGGGTTAGTCCATGAGGTAAATAGAACAGATTGGAACCCCATTGATGTTTGATTTTACCTGTCTTCTTGTCTATTGTTATAACTGTATTACCAATTATTGGTCCATCCGCAGCGAATTGAAAATTATTATTGGCGTCAAAAGTACTGTAAAATGAGAGGAAGGCAGATAAATGGACTAACAAGAAGAACTATGATGCATATTTTCAGACTTTTTTTAAGATTTGAATATATTCCTATTTGTATGAAATGCGAGGAAACTTACGTGGCATCCCAGATTCTATCTTTTCTATGAAATATCACAACATCACCATTCTTATCCAGATCTACAGCAGAAACTTGACCCAGGGTCATGTCTGACAATGTCAACCAATCTTGAACTTCCTGAAAACCACCTGTACAAATAAATATGCAAGATTTGTTTAAATTCAGCCAGATCAGCAGATAAATAAAAAAAAAGATTGGACATTTTAGAAAAATAACAAGCGACCTGACGGTCGAAATACAACTGTTGTCCAACAAGAACATTGTGGTAGTCAAGTCAAGCAACGCTAACCCATAAGTGTTCTTCTTTGAAACTGCCAGCTCAAGTCAAGTATCAAAGCAAATTGTCGAAAAAAGCATTTTTTTAACAAAAATTGAGAATTAAAGATATCATCATGAAATCAACAAATCTGACAGAGGTCCACCCAAGGTACCTATATACCAAGTATCAAAGCAATTAAGCCAGTAGTTTTCAAGAAGTCAAAAATAATTTTTTTTTACCAAAAATGACAAAAATATTTGCCAAAAATAGAGAATTGAAGATATCATCATGAAATGAACATCTCTGACAGAGGTCCACCAAAAGTACCTACATACTTAGTCTCAAAACAATTGACTTGTACAGGTAGTTTTCAGGAAGAAGTCGAAAATAGCATTTTCTTATCAAAAATATGACAAAAATATTTGCCAAAAATAGAAAATTGAAGATATTGTCACCAAATGAATAAATCTGACAGCGGTCCACCAAGGTATCTACATACCAAGTATCAAAGTAATTGACTCAAAGTTTTCAAGAAGAAGTCTAAAATAGCATTTTTTAACAAAAATATTTGTCAAAAATAGAGAATTAAAGATATCATCATGAAATCAATGAATCTGACAGTGGTCCACTCAAGGTACTTATATACCAAGTATCAAAGCAACTGAGCTAAGAAGTCTAAAGTAGTCTGAAACAGCATTTTTTACTAAAAATTACAAAAATATTCGCTAAAAAATAGAAGTGGAAAAAGTCGTCACAAAATGAAAAAATCTGACATACTATATCAAAGCAATTGAGCTGGTAGTTTTCAAGAAGAAGTTGAAAATGCAATTGTTGACGGTCAACGAACGAACAATGACGGACAATCACCTATATGAACAGCCCTGCTCTGTCATCTACAATGACAGCAGGGCAAATAATATTCAGGAAATCATGCATTGTTAATTTTTATTTCTCAGCACTATATTCCAAAATGTCTGCTTGCAAAATTGATGTACAGAAAATAGCAGCATATCAGGTTAAAAATATTTGATACATATTTGATCAATTTCATTTGGACACAACCTTCACTGTTGTCATGGTTAGAAGTATGACATATGTCTTCATCTTTTAGGCTCTTAGTAACAAACATCTCTAAAGCACATTTTTACCTTGTTTGTTATTATTGTTTTGCACCTCAGCTGTTTTTAATGGTGTGGATGTTGTTTGTACTTTCTCATCCGTTTGCTCATTATGGTTTATATTAATCTCCTCATCTTCCTTATCTTCTTCCTGTTTATTTTCTTTTTCCTCAGCCTTGATTACATCATCTGGTTTGTCATCACTTTTCTCCACATTCTGATCCTCATCATAGTAATCGTCATAGTAATTATAGTAGTTCTCATGGTGATGGTACTCCATCTTGTCTTGAAGGAACTCATTTGGTGGAGGGGGGATGTCTGAATCTGGTGGGAACTGTACATGAATGGCTTTTTTAGAGCAAGCCTGAATGATGTCTTCATTTTCATTGTCCATGTAATACATTATATAAAAATTACACATTTCATCTTTACTAGTTGAGCTGAAAAAATAGAGAATCAAAGAAAGCTTAGAAAGAACTCCCATGTGCTGAGAGTATTGGAGACACATTAAATATAATTCGAAATTACTTAGCTGAAAACTAATTATGCAAATCAGAAAATTAATATGACCAGATTTGAGTGTAAAACTAATGAGGTCTGCGCAATGTAACAGAAAATCTATGTCTCCAAGTTTAATTGAAATGTGATTAGAACCAAAAAATTATGAATTATTATGCTTATTAGGGAATTAATATGAACAGATTTTTACCCCAAACTAATTAGGTTTGTACATTGTCCTAGAGCATCTTTGTACTAAGTTTCATTGAAATGGAATAATTAGTACCGTGAAAACTCCAAAATTTCGACCCCTCTAAAAATTCGATTGGCTATTTATTTGCCGGGTTTCGGTGTTTTATTTACCTCCAAATTTTCGACTCCACTAAAAATTGCCGACTCATTCTTATTCGAAAATTGCGACCAGTTTTAGTTTTCCCCCAAACGAAAAAAAAA